CCCAAACCCACGAAATGGCTCAAATTCTTTCAAACGCAGAAGAAAATACTCTTGTACGATGGATTTCACGACTTACCATCACTGGATTCCCTGCTACACCTATGTTGGTGAAGGAAATGGCCGACGAAATTCGTCTTCGACGCGTTCGGGTCGCATCATCTCGAAATCCTACCTCGACAGAAATTCCACCTATAGGCCACGAATGGATCTATAGATTCCAAAAACGACATCCAGAACTTAAAACATGCTATTCACGTCAATTAGAGTCTAATCGGACTAAAGAAGCAACTCCGGAGAATATTCAGGCTTGGTTTGACGCGTTTCGCACGCGTCTCATTGAGCGAAAGTATGAATTAGATGATATGTATAATATGGATGAAACCGGATTTGGAGTTGGAAGTACTCAAAGTACGCGCATTATAGTCGATTCTACTCAGAAATCGAATTGGAAAGTTACAGCTGGCAAGCAAGAATGGATAACTGCATTTGAATGTGTCAATGCAGCTGGAAATGCTCTATCACCTATGGTCATTTTCAAGGCTCAGAATACGAATTCTGCATGGATTCCAAAGGACACACCTCAAAGCTGGCAGTTCTCTACTAGTACAAATGGATGGACCTCAAATAGCCATGGATTAGAATAATTAAAAAGGGTTTTCGAACCAGAATCCAAGAAAGTGTCAGGTGACCGACCTCGACTTTTGATCATGGATGGCCATTCAAGCCATATTACAGGTAGCTTTATTGCTTTCTGTATAGATAATGATATTGATTTACTTATATTACCTCCTCATTGCTCTCACTTGCTTCAGCCACTTGATATTGCGGTGTATGGGCCAATGAAACGATATCATGCTTTAGAGGTCGATCGATATTCTCGAGCTGGTGTAAAGCGAATCCAAAGAGCTGAATGGGTAGAACTCTTTCAAAATATTAGAAAAAAAGCATTGAATTCTTCTAATATTAAAGCTGGCTGGAGAGGAGCTGGTTTAGTACCTTTTGCCCCACGAAAAGTACTCGATTCATTACCATTTAACTCCTCCCAGCAACCTTCTACTCCACAAATGAGAACCCCCAATCAAGACCTAGACTTGTCTATACTCAGGAGTTCTCCTCCAGATGGAACAGAACTAAGGCAAGCAAATCAGATCTTTAATACAGCTCTAGCAAGCAGTGGTTCTCCTGCATCGCCAACTCGTCGATATGCCAAGAGAATGACTAGGCTTGTAGAATCTCAAAATGCTGAGATAGCCCTACTTCGGAAACAGCTCTCTGATGCTCAGGAGGTAATTGAGACTCGAAAGAAAAGAACTAAAGGCAAAAGAGTCAAATTACAAGGTCAATTTGTCTTTAGTACTAAGGAAGTATTGAAAATGGTACGTGAGGCGGAGGAAAAACCGAAGGAGAAAAAGCCACGAGGACGGCCACGCAAACGCCCAATTGAAGAATCAGAAGAAGAGATTGAAGAAGAAGAGCTAGAGAATAGTTCAAGTGATTCGGAATTGGAATTGGAGGATTGTGTGGCTCGTAGAACAAGATCGCGTGTAGAATAATTGAAAAAGTGTCCGAGTTCCCCATATGTCCGAGTTCCCCATACGTTACGTTATTAACTAAGTCAACTACCCCACTTTCCGACCACCCCCTCTTTTCGACCACCTCAAAAACCACACCGCTTTGAGTAATTATAAAATTTATACTTTGAATAACTCAACAATGCTTTAATCAATTGATTTGAAATTTTGATATTATTATAATTGTGATATGAAGAATAGATATACCGAAGAAGATATCGCAGAGGCTCTTAGAGCGATTACAAATGGAGCAAGCATACGAAGAGCTAGCTTGGATTATGGTGTTCCACGTACCACACTTCACGATCGAATATATGGTGGAGTTTCGCATCAAAAAGGCGCCCAAATACTTCAAAAGTTATCTCCAATTCAGGAGAATCGACTAGCAGAATGGATATTAGTACAGGAAGCTCTTGGTACTAGCCCTACACATCGTCAAATCAGAGAGATGGCAGAGCACCTCCTTATTGTACGAGGGGAGGATCCCTCACTTGGAAAGAAATGGATACATAGCTTTTTTCGAAGGCATCCTAATATTGGAACTAAGAAGCAACATCAAATCGATTCTGCACGAGTTTCAGGTGCTACATCTGATATTATTAAGAAGTGGTTCCGGAACCTCGCAATCCCTGAAATCAAGGCTATTAAGCCGGCCAACAGATAGAATATGGATGAAGCAGGTATAATGGAGGGTCAGGGTCTTAACGGACTAGTAGTAGGAAGCACTGATCGAAGATTTATTCAAAAAAAGCAACCTGGATCTCGAATTTGGACCTCTTTTATAGAATGCATTTCAGCCAATGGAAAAAGCATTACTCCCCTTGTAATATATAAGGGAAAATCAGTTCAACAACAATGGTTTCCAACAGATTTGACTCTATTCAAGGGTTGGAACTTTACCGCTACAGAAAATGGATGGACTACAGATGCTACAGCTTTAGAATGGCTGAAAAAGATCTATATCCCTCAAACTACCCCTATTCAGCCGGAAAATTCAAGACTCCTCATTTTGGACGGACACGGAAGCCATGAAACTACAGCATTTATGTTAGAATGCTTTAATAACAACGTATATCTCTTACTTCTCCCACCACATACGTCACACGTACTACAACCACTCGATTTATCTGTGTTCTCACCCCTAAAAAGTGCATATCGAATCGAACTTAATAAATTAAGTCTATTATCCGATTCCTCACCAATTGGAAAGCGCAATTTCCTTTCTTGCTATCAGAAGGCTAGAATAGAAGGTTTAACTATTCAAAATATCAAGTCTGGGTGGCAAGCTAGTGGTCTTTGGCCCAAAAATATGGCTAAACCTCTTATGAGTCGACTTTTGCTTGAAAATAGCAATAGAGAGGTTTTATCACTTAATCCTGAATCTGATGATGATCCTATTCTTCAATGGAATATATATTCATCGTTTATTCAATGGAAAACCCCTCAAAAAGGAGCCGATATCAGAAAATATAGAGATATAATGATTCAAGAGAAGGAGATCGATTTGCCAACACGAAGATTACTATTTCGCAAGATTATAAAAGGATTCGATGCTAAGGATTATGAACTCTTAGAGGCAGAGAATAAGATTAGAAAGCTAGAATATCAATTAGATGAAGCATTACCTAGAAAAAGGCGAAAGGTTGTGGTATCTCCAAATTCGAAGTTCGCAGGGATTAGAGCTATAAGGCGTACACAAATTGAAGCTGGAGATCGTGAAGATGAGGTAGATGATAGCTCTAGTGCTATAGAAAGTGATTCTACAGGCGATTTCATTGAAGTTCAATAGTTATTGAGTTATTAAAGTTTTAAGTGTAGATAATATGAATTTTTTAGGTGGTCGGAAACAGGGGGTGGTCGGAAAGTGGGGTAGTTGACTTAAAATATAAAATTACTATTTCAGTTGATCATATATTGAATTAAAAAATTTAAGATCAATAGTTTGAGTATATTAAAGTATGAAAAAATACACACTTTATTTTTGAACATTTTTTTTTTTGAAGATTAATATAAGCTTTTAATTAAAAAAGGTTAGAATTTTCAATTTGTAATGTTTTTCCCACACAAAATAAATAATTTTTTTAAAATTCTCAAGAATTTCAATTTCAATCCTTTATAAAAACTTTTATGAAAATATCTAAAAATGAATTACCTTTTTTTATTAGTAATTCAATGACTTGAAATCTTTTATAATATAAAAGTATTTCATTTTATATTATGATAAATAAACGAAGGTTTTAGCCGAAAAAACATGTGCGGTAAGTAGGTTCCAAAACTTTTACATTTACGAGTGAGCCAGTTGCACAGCATTGAGGGAAATCGCACAGTAGCCACAATGTATATGGATGGACAATAGTACATAACTTTTTACCAATACATACATACCCTCTACGACTAAACCCTCTGGTCAGTCTTCATAGCGCCGCAGGTTTATATGGTGTTTGTCTACTCCAAGTATACATTCCAGTTCCAGGAAGAGGAGTAACTAATACCAAGCTAAACCTTCAATAGCAGCTAATACAACATCTCAAGACCCTAAGAAATACTATCTAAATGTCAACTCGCACTCGATCGAACAAACTATCGACATGCAATCAGGCAAAAGTTGAGAACGACGATGAAGACAACAATTATGGCAATAAATCGCGACGGCTTGAGAAGCAATGTACTAGTATAAAACTGGAGATGATAGCGCAGGAACATCAATAAATCCATCCTGATATTTATAGTTGTATTGAAAATCACTCATGATTGACGCTGAACATACCGAGGATGCGTGATAGAATTTTAACGCATTGCATAGAAAGGCGGCTACAGCTCCAAAGCCATGTGTACCGCTCTCAAGCGCCATCAAATCAACACAAGATTATGGTTGAAACCCCATGGCGATTTCTATCTCCCAATTTCCACTAATCAATGAATCTCCTCCCAACGTAAGTTTCTATAACGAAATTGTCTTGGTAGATTGGAACCGAAAAAATAGTTACGTGGTGGGCGCCAGGAGATGGTTACTTCGATTAAGGATTTTCTCCGACCATGATTGTGAAAATATTCCTGTTTCATGTACGATAGCTTCTGCAAGTAAAGAAGAGAATTCGATACCATGACGATCTCATTTTTCCAAAATCGACAATGCTTACACTTACTTGATTTGGATGTTAACTTCCGGAAGCCTCAAGTATCTTACACAAAGTCAGCAATCCGTTGTTCCTAAGTACGGAAGTAAGCATTCCACATTACACTACACGAAACGTGATCAAAAGACGTTTCAAAGGTAACATCAACGGGTTCCCGCATGAATGCGAACATTCTCTTTTCATGTGTGTAGAAGCAGGACTTATCCCTATGCTTCTTTTTCTATTTTTAGTAGGTATCTTAACTTCTGGGCTTCGATTGCACTCCCTGGCGGCCAAAAATCAATAGACAAAAATGATTTGGCTAGTCTTTTGGACTTTGATTAATGGTATCAATGCCTCGCTCGTCGTATCACCATTATCTATTCCAACTACTACTCCACCTGAATTACCAATTATACAGGAGAGACGCCAAGTAACCACTTCTGGAGAGACATGTGGGTACGCAAATGGAAACGCAATGTTTCCTCGATCCGCAGCACCTGGATATTTTTGCGGAAAGGACACTCAGAACATGTTATGGGGTTTCTGCTCAGACGCTGTTACCGTTGCTGATTGTGGACTATACGGGTACTGCTTCGATAAAGGAGCATGTTCCGCTGGATGCGGAGTTTCCGGACTCATCTCCACGACTTGGTATGTATTGCTTTCGCACTAGCTATCGGATGACACTGAACTGTTCAACTAGCGAACCTTACTGTTTTTCCGGACTTCTGGTGTCTAACTACCAGACCTATACACATATTACGTGTGCGAATGCTCCAGGCTCAGCTGTTTGGCTTGCGGTTCCCACTATAACTTCTCCCTTGCCAGAGATGATATCTTCCTCGTCACAAGCGGCGCTAAGCGTATCGACGCTGGAAAGAACAGTAACTGTATCTCCTTCGTCATTCGCTACGAACCCTAAAATGTCAACTTCCATACCTGCTATCACATCATCAACCATAACCGACGATCCAACAGCCACATTCAACACCGGTATAGCCCCAGTCAGCACAGAATACCCATCAAGCTGTTTGCCAGTAGGTGCTATCATTGGCGGGGCTCTCGGGGGTCTTAGTCTCATTCTTCTTACAATCATCGTGGTCGTATTTTCGAAGAGGCGACAAACGTCTACCCCAAAAGTCGTAAAACATGAGCCAGCCAGCGAGTTACCAGGTGCGACACTTAGAAGCGACATCTTTGAGATACATGGTGGACAAGTTGATAGGCGTGCCAATGAAATTCGGAACCCAAACATATTAAGGAAAGCGAGTTCTGCTGCTTTATCAGGCATTTATTGAGGAAAGGATTGATTTTCTGCTCCAGCCTTGAATTTAAGATTTTGATGTGATATGATGAGCGAGAATTAAAAAAATGATGCTTATAAGACGTAGAATAGTGTGATAAATTGCGGGCCTCGGAAATTTAAGGATAGATCGACAATTCGAAATGATTCCAATATTTAGAGGCTCTCCAGCTCCAGTTCTAAAATACAATTTGAAGGTAGTGACTTATGATTTTGGACCTGCATGATTAGTAACAACTGCTGGGCCGTTGGTAACTATTTCAGCCAAGCACCCAGCTAGCCGGTACCACGATAATACCTCTAGCCCTATAGCAAACGCCACCTGTGTTACAGAACTGCGGGCTCCTTTTTTGATCTTTGATGTGGTAGTAGTAGCCGCCGTTATCGTAAATGATAATTATCATAATATGAGGGTTCCCTCGTTACAATAAGTTCAACTTCGGCTTGGACTTTTCGTAATTTTCACTAGTCGAAATGGACGACATAGCATCTTAGTCTATGCAATTTGTCATCTGAAGATGGATTTGTATTTCCTACTTTTCTTCATTGCATAGGTTCAGGTGCCGCACATATTATTACTCCTCGAATAATCATCTCAACTGGCTCCCCTACAGTTCTCGGGTTACAACCTCGACGGACGACAGCATTCGCCACTTTCCACTTGTGGTTTCCTGAATGGAAACGCAAATCAGCCCCTACTTGCGAACAGTGGCTCGGAGTGTACCTTTGATACAACTGCTTCGCTATGGGGCCTATGCAGAACCGGGTTGACCCTCACAGATTGTGGGTTGGTGGTTATTGCATCGACGCTGGAACTTGTTCAACAGGATGCGGGATAACAGGAACTAATGTAAACACATTGAGTTGGTATGTTTAGGATCGCTAGACATTTTGAAATGCAGTCTCTAACAAAATCTTTAGTGCAAAACAGAAAAGCGCTAGCTTTTGTGTATCAAGTCTCCTCCTCGTCGGCGCAGATCAAACTTATACACATATGACATGTGCATCCCAAGCGCATGCGAGCCCACCTGTCTTTCTATTTGATGCAACCATGACTGCTCCAATACCAGCGCCGACTTCTGAACAAACTTCGTCGGTTGCAATAACAACAAGCAAATCGAACGTGCAATCAAATCTAGAGTCTGCCACCCCATCTGCATCAGATTCGTCCACAAACACTGCTAGTAAGGCGCCAGCCTCTGAGTCGGGATCGAACTCGGGATCGAACTCGGTCTCTTCTGGTACCATCGATTCTCAATCATCAGATGCTAAATACTCAAGCGAATCATCCCCAAGAGAATCCATCTTCACTGTATCTGGTTTCCTCGTCACCTCTTTTTTTCGGTCAAACTAATACCGTGGGAGTTACAGTATCAATTACCACCACCGCCAGTGGCATCTCATCTCCCAGCCCCTCCGATTCTATTGCTCCAGCCCCCAAAACCCTTCCCAAATACGATCCCAAGGCCTTAATCGGCATCGTACTTGGCGTACTCATCTACCTCCTCCTCCTGATCTTCACTCTCACCTGGATAGGAAAATACCGACGAGCGCAAGAGAAAAAATCTACTACCCCCACAGCCGAAAGTCCCACAAACTTTTTCTTCAGCAATCTTCCCGAAGTGATGGAGCCATTTGCAAAAACTGACGGAATCCATGAAATGTGTGATGATCACGGAGAATTGAGGGAATTAGATATTGCAGGAGCGGTTGCGGGGAGGACAGGAAGAGTGAGTGTGAGGGAATTGGCTGCTACGCCTGTGGTGGGTGGAAGACGAAGTGGCAGAAGAAGCGCGAGGGAGGTGGAGGGAGATATGGTGTGGGGGAGAGGGAGAATAAGTATCAAGGAATTAGATGGTGGTGTGTTTGTGAGGAATGGTCGAAGAGGTGATAGCATGACGCAGGTGTTTGAACTTGATGGACAATCGTACATATGATGAGACATGATTAATGCTATAGTACTTAATGATAATGAGAACACGACCAATGAAACAATGCAGAAAGTGATAAGCTATTATAGTCTTCAGCACTAGCCAAAGAACCATATATCAAAGTCAAGTAGTATCAGATGAGACCGTAAAGTATTGCATCATAACTCATGACATTGCTAGTTGTATTTACAAACAGCAGATAGACTCCAAAATTCATTATCCCATCATTCAATTCCAATCAACAGATATCCCGTTCTTATGCGGTTCCAGTCTGTCAAATAATCAGTCCTATTCAATCACGTAAAGACTCATTATTGAAGCATACCTTTCTCTGTCCAACGAAGAATCCCAACCCGAAAGTTTCTGTAGTGAAAGTAATCTTGCTTCCCTTTGGAACTACTCCGAATTAGACTAAAGCTTCCAAAGAATTTCTAGGCAACTTACAGTAGAAAACATCGCCCTTGGTGGCATGAACCTTCTGTCCAGTCTCATCACTAATATCAAACTCTCCATCAACGATAATCTTCATCTCATGATATGTGTATTCGTAGATCAATGGTGTACCCTTTTCTAATCTGTAGAAACCAGCTGATAGTGGTGCAGCTTCGTCGGTAGATACTGACACATCACCGAGGAATGCATTCTCGTTGGCAATGAGAGGAGGCTTAAACTCGGTTTGAGCATTGGCGTGGTATGTGAATGGGAGAGACATCTTTTCAGTTTTTGATGAGAATTGGATGTTTTAGCTTTACTGATTATGGAACCCATTGTTAGTCTTGATGAATGGATAAAGAGGGCGATGAGTGCGAAGCGAAGATATCAAGATATTATAGAGGTGATGTGGTGATTAAGGAAATGGGAATATTGAAAAGAATCATGATCGTATTCATACCTTGAGTTCTTATTTTCTCACAGTAACTTGCACAGTTCTTCAAGAGAGTTTATTCGTGAATATGAAGCTATTGTAAGGTATGGCTTGTGTTTCTGCAGATGATAAGAAGAGTGTGTGTCGGACTGGAAAGATTCGCTTTCTTCGTCCATGATGCCTTCATCTTATATATCCGTCTCTATTATTAGCTCCCGATGATACAAAATCACCAAGTTGTTGAGCCATCCCACTGTAGCAAGAACATCTGCCATATAAGGTATTCTCAATGTATTCCATGGACTGTATTGCTGAAATAGGAAATGCGCGGGGTATGATATGCCTTTCTGAGATCTAAGGAGGGGTCGATTGGGAGCGGCTCGAGCACGGCAAGAAAGGCATACGGGCGGATTTCGGATTCGAATTTAGATTGTGTTGTTGATAGGTATCGACATGTCTTATTAGCTATCGCTCTAGAAATTGCTTGGGAATATGACTATCTGTCGATGGAACGTGCATCGTCGGTATCTTTGTGTTAGAAACCTTAAGAGCTTAACCGTCTGATTGTTTTAGCTCCCGTAGTTGATGGAATCTCATACAGCAAAAATGGCGAATGTTGAATGAAGGGGTCGTCGTTGAACTGAGATAAGGAAGCGATGGAAATTTTGCCCGAATGTAGTTAAAATGAAGCTTACAAGTTGCGCCCCATAATTTTTGCTTTGAACCCGAATTCTAATTCCAAACGCAGGAAACATTTTACACCAGAATGCCATTCAAGCTCTTCAATATCAATCAATACAAACAAAAGTAATTGAGATAATTGTGAGAATGACACGAATTTCTCATTTTCCCTCCAGCAATCTAGCTAGCCAATGAAATCGCCAAAATGTTGTCGGCCCTCGCCCTTTCACCCCCTGACGCCTCGGGCTTTCGCGCCCTTCGCCCTTTTCTTCGCCCTCTCGCCCTCTCGCCCTACGACGTGCAACAAAAACATGAATTATCACATGGAGTAGTTGCCATTGGTTGATCATTATAAACGTTAAGCTACTGATTAGGTTGGTCGGTATTGACCCTGTTGTGTATTGCTGCAATATACCTACTTCGGGCTTCGGATAAATACTCATGTTTCAATCACAATACCATCCGCACTGCATCATGGATCCCAAGGGCCCTTCGCCCTGGAACCCGTAAGAATCTCTGCTTCACCATTCTCTCTCACGACAAAAACATCTTCATGCCTCACGCCAAACTTCTCTTCAAGGTATATTCCAGGCTCTAGTGTGAACGCCATCCCTACATCTAGGAGTTCTCCGACATTTCCCTTATTCAAATAAGGACTCTCATGCGCCTTGATACCAATTCCATGCCCAACGCGATGTGTAAATGCTTTCTCGTAGCCGGCATCAGCAATGACATTTCGAGCCGCTATGTCTACAGAAGCGCATGATGAATTCGGTTTTAATGCATCTAGTGCTTTAGTTTGTGCCTCGAACACTACATCCCAAATTGCGATTTTGTGCTGGGCAACTGGTGAAAGAAGCGAGAGATCTTTCGCTTTCGAGAAGAAAGGTGGAAAGAATGTTCGGCAAATGTCAGAAGAATATCCATGTAGATGGGAACTTTTGAGGGATCAAATCAGCTTGATACATTCAACAAGTGAAGTGCTTAGAGCTCACCCAACATCAATCAACACGAGGGTCTCTTCTTCCAGAACTTTACTTCCATTTGGTCCGCCATGTGGCATTGCAGCATTCTCATCTATTAGAAGATCAATATTATTCTCCATTACGTTTTAAACTCTTCTCCACCCAGATGAAGAGTGTGAGATAACTAGTAGATACACAAAGTTGATTTGTGTCACAAGCCAGTTTTACACAGTGGAGAGGTAGTTGTAAGTCAGAAAATACTCGAAGACCATTGTACGAACGAACTTGAGAGAATCAATTATTGGCTTACCAAAAAGTACGATATCAAAGAATGGATCCATCCCACCAGCTCGCATTGTACTGTCAAGTCCAGCCATGACCTCATTTTCAGTCAAGCCCGGCACCATACACGTCCTCACAGCTCGCAATGCTTCGACAGTTCCTGTATTGACCGCCCTGAGGATATTTACTTCGCCAACTGTTTTCGTTTGCTTCACTCGTTTCACACTGCCAGCAAGTCCCACCACTTCGAAGCCACTTTCGCCCAGGCCTCTCTGGATGAAATCTCTCGTTTCTTCGTCGACCATCACCTTTGGAACTTGAGTGGACCCTACATCTTTCTTGCCAACGACAGTATGCCAATCTCTCAACAGCGTCAAATAAGGATCCCAGTGTTCCTCCCAAGTAACGATGTACAGGTCCTCTTCGAAAGGCATACCGAGCATTCTTACCCTCCCTTCCTCAAAATATGGTGCCAGAAATGATGTCTTTGCAACAACTCTCTTCAAACTTGTATCAAAATGAGGTGTAATGACCATGAGAAATGGTCGCTCTTCAGGCTCCCAAACTTCCCAGGTTTTTTGACTAACATTAGCATAATACTGAAATGTATATCCTGGCTCAACGATAAATGCATCTAATCCATCACTCTCAAGCGCAACAGCTAGATTGTCTCTCCGCTGGATGAATTCTGAGAGCACAATAGGTGAAGCAGTTTCTAGCCATGGCAACCCGGTCTCAAGAAATGTATACACAGAGCATCTCCGAAACTTTTCATATTTGGACAGACTAATCTCTCCGAGAATCAATGGTGACAATTGCCAAGACTATTTGCTGTCAATTAGTATTGAATCTATCTTTGAGGCTTGTGGGACGCTTACCACGAAATTTGGAAGAAGTTGTACGACGAAGATAAGGATAACGAATGTAGTGAAGGTAACGATGTTTCGCTTGGAGAACTGAAGCCAATTCTCCGGTGACTCAAAAGACTGACGCTTTTCCATTTTATCTCGAGATAGTTCAATGTTCTGTATTTGATTCATGAGATGAACATCATCGCACGGTGCTGATAAGGAATGTTCTTGATAGCGGGGGCGGGGTATCTATCACCTAGGTGTGTTTGGAGTTAAATGCTAATTCCACCCCGATAACCAAATCACTTCTCCCCATATCACTTCTCCCCATACCATTCTCTTTCAATTATCCTATCTATCATTCAATTGAACAGCTTTTCGAACAGTGGGGATAGATTCTGAAGATGCTGTTATCGATCTAATGAATATAATTTTCTAAATTAATTCAACAACCAAATCTATTTCAATAGCTAAAATGATTTCAATGTTTAGAAGGGATTGGATGTTCTAAAGTTTTTGATTGTTGGACTGCAGTTCAGACTATCAGACTCCCTTAGTTTGAAATCTGTTTGTATATCATTGGAGAAGTCTAGCTAGCTGCTTACCTACTTTTACCATGAGAACTAAACTTCCCATGCTTATGACTGTTAATTAGTGCAACCATCTTGATTCGGGACCTTCCTCCAGGCTATTGTTGACACATATCAACTTGATCTCCCAACAAAATAATCCCGAATCACTGGACGTCAGGCGTGAACTAATAATGCATGTCTTGATGAAAGTAGTTATCTACCTGCCTTGGGTATCGAAGCTATGTTCAGATCATTCACATTATGGTTGTAGAACCAAAATTGGCCACAAGTCGCCGTTGGTCAGGATCTCATGTCGTCGTTGAGCTTCATGTCACAGTTAGATTGGCAACTAGTGAGTCAATGGCTCACATTGAAAAACACTTGGAGAATGACCATCATGAATATCAAAATAGATGCTGTGATTATGCGCTTCATTGGATATCTAAACAATGCAATACAGATAAAGAGTTTAAACCCTTATTCAGATCTCTCGAATTAAGTTCTGCTGAATCCTCCCGCAGGAGTGACAACTCTAACATCAGGTGGTGCCGTCAAATACTCGGCTGCCTTGCTATCCGCCTTGTATGATTGGACATGAGCACTCTCCTCATGAGCTTTGAAAGCTGCCTCATCTTTGAATCTGTAAGATCTGGTCAACCCATGCATACGGAATGTGTGAAAGGGAAGAGGAAAGGAGAAAGGGAACGTGTGATGGACAAGTTCCTTACATCATAGCCATAACAATTTGCTCTGGCCCGTCACCTGACAAAGGCTTGGTCTTCGATACTTTGTACATAAGACAGCCTGGCTCGGCATCTTCGACAACTTTGGCGAACTTAGCACATTCAGCGAGAGACTGTTAAAGTATTGCGTTAGAGAATGTGAATAGATATTCGAAGACAGTAAGGCGAAGATGATGTGGGGATTCGATGGAAAGAATAAACTTACTTCCTCGATCTTCTCCGGCTTAGGAGTGAAGGTGACGACTCGGGAGATAGGGCTCATGATTGGGTTATGAGAGATTTGGATTAAATTATTAATGCTGAGATAGTTGAGTGGCTTGATGAGATTCGTCTTGTAGTGATTTGGTTGTATGTTGTAGAGCAATAAGGTTGGCTTTCTTGACCTTTATATAATTCGACGCGGCGAAGATCTCCGCACTAGACATCATTCAATGTCGTACCTACAATACTAATGCATTGACAACTTATAAGTAAAAATAGCCTCGGATTACGCATTCTCGAAAGCTGTCCGAATTCAACAATTGCTTGAGAGTCCGAGGAGGTGGTGGAACAGACGTGGCACGGGTCATTGCATGAGCATATTCCCCACAACTCAAGATATCATAGCGGGAACTTCATGGGTTGCCTTTGTTTCGATTCAACCTTTATACAATCACAGCTTCCCATTTGTTGGCAGCACAGCCATAGCATGATTGTCGTGTTGAGGTACTCGAATAGTATTTGATGACTGACTTGTGCTCAAGCACTTATTATGCTCGGAAGGAAATTGTGGGGTTCAATACGCCAGAAGATTGGATGGGGGATTTCAGCTTCATGTTTGAGCATAAAAAGCAGTAATAGTCGGCTTTTTAAATGGCCGACTTGTTACCACACTCAACCTCTCGAGTAAGGCCATTGAAGACACTTGTGTCTTAGGGATTTATAATGATATCAATTTACATAGAAACAGAATCAACATGAAATGCAGCAAAAATAACGGCATATCTTTATTCAACTGTGACTAAGTACAATGATTGTCTAAAATGATATCAAATATTGCAGAGTGTCTGTTTGCCTTCGGGTCCACTGTTTTTCCGTCCCGCTGGAGCTCAGAAAAGGCAACAATATATGAAGTGTGAGCTCGTAATACAATGTGTACATGGACCTTTTGTCGTCCTAGAATCGAGTCCAAGTATTCACAGTACTAAATTATCAAAAAGGAGCAAATGACAATTCGCAATGGAACGGCTTCAGATGACACGAACCCCTCGACAAAAACATACATGAATTTTTCAAACAAACAGAAACATAATCAAAATCTGATTACATATCATGATTAATTGTAACCATCGGGGCGTTGATATGTATTCGGGGGAGGCTGCCTATTCCGTCGTCCGTATGGTAGATGTGATATCCGCTCGATGCTGTCTGGTCCTGAGCGATGAAGCTGCTTTTCGTATCGAACGACAATGGAGAGTCACACTTCCGAAGTGTCATGTCGAGTCGGACTGTGATCGTATAACCTTCGAGTAGAGAGCACGAGATTGGATTTGGTTGAAGTGTACCAAATATCTCGATCTCAGCATCGGCATGGCTCTTGAAGGGCATACTGCTAGTTGTGTCATCTTGCATAGTATCGTTTTTCTTAGAAAATATTGCTCCAGCTGGAATAGTTTCCTCGTGAATCAACTTTGGAGCTTTTCAAATGAAGTTGAGGCAACGGTATTTATTGTTGACGGTGGGGATGATGATGATGATCGAAATAAGGTGCTTATCCTTAAGATACTGATATTCATTTATTCATTGGCTGACACTGTAGGGAAAGCCTGCTGTATCTATCGATCAATTCGTTGTTCAGGATGAAGTTGCTTAAGCACATTCGGCCTTACTGTCAAGGAAAGTCTTAACAACTTATCATTGTTCTGTGGTAGCAGAGTGACCAATAGTCCGGACTGCAGTCAAACAATACTAAGCATTATCAAATCCCCATACCAATCAGAACATCAAATGACTTGAGATATCGAGTATGATTAGAATATTTGAAGTATTTTCAGGTTCCTAACTTCTTCTAACAATAAAGATTATCAAATCTCTAAACCAATTTAAAACATTCAAATGGGTTTGAGATGTTGAATTTGATTGGAATGTTGAACTATCATCGGATTTTCAACTCCTTTCAGACATTCAAGTGATTCGAGATGCTGAATTTAATTAGAATATTGAACTTTATTCAGAATTTTAGCTTCTTTCGGATATTCAAACCCTTATATCATTGGACAAACGTTTTTCGAATGATTCCGCGAACGTCCACGATTGATCGATCCAGATTCTAAAATGTGTGTTAGTCCAGGTATTCCGAAGTATAATGGGCTGAAGGCAAGGAGCATGCATATCTATAGTGCCATATATCGAATTAGTATAAGTAGATTTCATGAAGATAATTTTAAGATATGAAAATAGTCGGTGGAGTGATTATCTAGAGTTCGAAACGATACTGAAGAAATAAGTCATTGAGAGTAAGACAGAGCTACGAGACTGATAGCGAGACAGATGGAGGAGCAAGTGGTCTTGAAATAGACACTTGAGAAACCACTGAGGATATTGGATATTCGAGAGAGATACCAAGAAAGACAAATGCTTGAGCAATAACAATTTTTTTATAGAGCCTGGTATACCTCAATGGTAGTGTCACTTGTCTTGTTCTCCTGTGAGTCCAAAATAATCACTCGTATTTTTGGCTCTGGGTTCCCTCCTTGGATAACCAGTTTTGACTTGGTTTCGTTGTGTGACTACGATCAAAATTCGCCAAAAATGTGAAGGTGAGTGATGGTGATGCCTACCTAGCTCCTCTTTGTGGCTGTCAAATTGGGCAAGCATCACTACCTATATATTCATACATAGTGAGAATCACCTGATGTCCTGGTTCCTTCCTGATTCGAGATGCTCATTCTTAGCGAAGTTCCCAATTCTTCTTCTTCTTCTTCTTCTTCTTCTTCTTCTTCTTCTTCTTCTTCAATGCCACCCCGGAAGAGAAGAGCTTTTGTAAGTATTACCATCCTTCCTTCGAATGCTTCATTAATTCGATATCATCAAGATCATCCATCAACTGACATATCCAACCTGAGGTTTATATGCATCTCATATTTTACACTTAGACTGCGCACAAATTATCTGTACCCATGAATTATCTACAAATAATCCACTTCACAAATTATTTATTAAATATTCTATTCACTCTACAGATTATTTATCGAAACTTTAAAATTACCTATTCCATACAAATAATTTATAAATTATCTATAAATAATCCATTTATCCACAAATAAATAAATTATTTACAAATATATAAATTCTCTACTTTTTTCATTTAAAATATAAAACTATTCTCAAATTATTTTCCAGCCTAAAAGTAATTCAAGCTTAAATTTATATTAATTTTTATATTAATTATAAAATTATATTAATATTATAAATAATTATAAATAATTATATAATATACAAATAAATAAATATCCACAAGTAATTTATACCCATTCTACAAGTTATCCATTTAGATTCTAAATTATCCGCTCTACAAACGGATTATCCGCGGATTATCTGTCGAGGCCATTATCCACTTCGCGGATACCCGTTGCGCAGCCTATTTACACTCCAATATGCAACAACTGCTAACAAAATTTCCAAAATTTCCAAAGTTTCCAAAGTTTCCAAACCCTAGTCGCAAACGGCCCGCACCAAGAACTTCAACCATCGCGATAGGCCAGACTGTCAGAGACATTTACCCCGAGTAAGTTGACATCCTTCACCTCAATTCATGTATCGTTACTAACCATATATAGTGAGTACTGACTCCGCGAGATGTTAGTAAAAGGCTAGCATCGTCCGAATTCCTCCCATCCGTCAAGCTCAAGTAAGTTAGTTGTCCTTCTCTTGTCTCGAAATTTGATACGTGATTCAAAATGCTACCGTTTTTTATAATTTTTCGAACAGCAGGAACGCCGAAGTGGTAGCCTGGGGAGCATTACAGGAATCGGGACGAGTACAGACAAGAGCAGTCGCTCGTACCAGAATGCAGTTAGCAATTTCAGGTTGGCATGGGAAGAGCATCGATGTCAGAAGGCGATCATGAAGTCTATGACCGTTTGAGGGTGGGTTTATATTTGTGTAATAGATATACATGTGGTTTTTTACACCGGATACGTTGCTTAGATAATTACACTCAGAGTATCCAATAGTCCGGACTGCAGTCCAACAATATAAGGGTTTGAATGTCTAAAAGCAGTTAGAAATTTGAAAATCATTCAATTTTTCAATACAATTTAATAATTTCAAATGATTTGAATGTTTTAATTGATTTGGAGATTTGATATTCTTCATTTCTAGACTGCAGTCCGGACTATTGAATACCCTGATAATTTACACTTGCACAATATGAAATGGAAACGGAAATTATTTTTCTCTCACATAAAACCAAAAGTATAACAATGATTTACTTATTGCCTATTGGAGAAACATGTTCAGCCTCTAGACACCCTACTAGAAGAGCAAAAGCAAGTATAGGGGCACTGTACCTGAAGCGAAAACCCTTGGAGTCGATTGCGCCCGAGTGTACGCAACCCTGTCATACACTCGAAGCGCCGCGGCTGCATTATTGAGAGGAACGCATGTAACCGATTTACTCTGCATCTGGAGAGCTATCCCAGCCGATTTTATTCTTTGTAACGAGAATGTGTGAGGTCGACTTTCACGATAATATGGTCACATTATGCTTTCTAAACCTAGCTGCTCTATCTTGAAAAATGACACCTTTGTGTGGCTGGTTCAATGGTCCCAGCACCGCTTCTCTTAACTGTTTGCACGACCACAAAACCGAGTAGATGCTTGATATAAAAGCACATTCATCGATTCGTCTATGAGCAACAACGAGCCAACGAGACGAGCTCGAGAGCTGTACCTGATATTACGACGATTAGATTTTCACGCTCGTGCTCTCGGCATCCCAATTCATCGATGCTAAGATCATGGCTGAATATGACGCTTGACGCCCATTCCGAACCCATCTATCGAAAGAAACATGCCCACAGTCAGGGCCGGATGGAGACTTCTTTCAATCAAAATGGATCGAGCGCGAGATTTTGGTCGAGATAGGGTACAACTAGTTCGCATCAAAGCAGTTCATCCCTCACATACACCAATCTAGGAGAGTCTACTAGGACGTTGTTCAACGAACCGCTAGTGACTATATATTTTGCTATGGCATCAGCTTTTGGGAGACGTCTAATACTGAGTATATCATCATACTAGAACAGGAGACTTGTGCTATGGATACAAAGACTCTTACAGCTCTGCATCAGCTTCGAGTAACAGGAAGAAACCCGAGTTGAAAGTAATCTAGCTGAAAGGTTGAAGGTTTCGATGTCATTCTCTTGACAACGCACGTTACAACCATCGAAAATCAAACTCTAGAACGAGTTGTGACAATTGATGAGTGTATAAATGTCGGTACAGACTGGATGGACTCGAAAAGACTTGAAGTGGAGGTGAACGCCGCCGATGGATGTAGAACAAGGGACTGTCCATCAAAAGCTAGATCCATTGACTGGGACCGGGCAAACAATACGGATAAACTGAGAAAGCACAATCACCCCAGACTCGCAAGGAACAAGATGAATCGCTTACAGCTGAGCGTAACGAGGATGCAATTGATGACAAGAGAAATACGCAGGAGATTTTCTCTGGTATTATAATGATTACAGGCTTTTTCTTCCAGATATTTGCTCCGACGGGTCAACCGATGAGTTGTGAAAGCGATCATGTTGAAGATTTTCAACTACAGACTTGGTGTATATCGCAGGGAATAGTGATGCCACGCAACTAAACTTGCGATGAAACGCATGGATCGTTTAATAAAGATTGCCGGATCATGAGTCAAGAGTCTAACGACTGAATGAAGGGTTCGTCATCGTTTGGGTGTGTGAGAGGACCATTATTTGAGAGGACAATAGAACATGCATGCCCTCCTGCGCAGCGAAGTTGAATCCAAAAGTTGGACATCATGCTTAACAATCGGCTTGTGGTCTTGCTGGTATATAAGGATAGGAAGAGGGAAGGGAGGAGAAGGAAGAGAGGAAGAGAGGCAAATGGGAATAGAAAAAAGGAAAGAAGTCGGAAGGGGTCAAAAGACAAAAGGTAAAGGGAAAAAGTGAAAAGTAAAAAAGGGAGAAGCGTTGAGGAAGTTGGTGAGAAGGATAGTGAGAGGTGTTGAGAAAGCAGACGATAATAGGGGGGAGAAAGTTGGGAGAAAGGGGGGGAACAGGGGATGAGGCGACAAGGAGATATATCTCCGGTATAATATTTGACACGTTCAGTACTCTCGAGATCGATTCAAACTTTTGAGACAGCTTCTGGCGAAATGTTATTTGCAGGATCGAACAACTCAGGTGGCAGTTGACAACCAGCGAAAAGTTTGCATGGGTTTTAATCGTGTGGTTTGATGTTCCAAGGAAGGTAAGCTCAAACAATTCTCCAAGTTTTCCCTGTGCTCTTGGGAGAAGACAATTTCCTAGAGATGCCATTGCAAAATTTCTCTCGGACAAGGAAATCCAAAAATAGTAGATGGCAAAGGACAATGCTGATGATGAAAAATCCCGATGCAAATGGACCAGCGATAGGCTCGGAGAGCCATTTGTCTTAAATCCTCAGATCCACTGGTCTCCAAAGCACCCACACAGCTTGTCAACCCATGGCATGATATCCATACACCATACCTCGAGCATACCTCAATCAACGACCCCCCCCCCCCCCCCCCCGACTCCATATAGAAGTTTTCCACCCTCTTAGTCAAGCTTATATCCTTCTTCCTTTGTATTTCTCGAATCTCGAGTCTCCTGCATATCAACGGTATCTCAGGCTTCCGAGACACAATCGAAGCCAGGTAGGCGCTTTGCCTTTGCGCTAGAAGCCTTCATGTTTTCAATTGGTGAATGTCGTTGTGATAGAAGTATGTACTCCGATTCTGGGTGTGCCTATTTGAAGTGGTGTTGATAGCATGACGTGGATAAAAATCTGAGAATTTGGGGTTGAGGGATTGGGCTAAGTGAGAGATGACGATTTGGAGAAGGTATCTTGATGTGATATCAAAAGGTTTTGTTCTGGGTGGGCTCATGTGCTTTGGGGTCCGTAAAAAAAATTGCGCTGCTGAGGGTCCAATTTTCGTGGAATGTTTTAGAGCTAGGTAGTTTAGTTCCGTGCCGAATTTGACGGATAATCCCACATCTTGCAGATCGGATTCTATGGGTGTGCATTTGGACTTGAAGCCCAAATATACCATAACCCAGGAATATATTTTATTGACCTTTCAACACCCTGAATGTCATCTGTGATTCAATCTTTGTTTTGAACGAATTTGTACCGTGGCTTTTAACCGGTTCAGTGCTATTTAAGCGATTGTAGATTTTATGAGATATCATTGAACTCGAAAACGTAAAAGTTAGGGAAAGACTCTGAGACTGCATGATGTATTTAGATTAAGGGTTCGAAAAGATAGGTAGCTTTGATCATCAATGTGTATAAGATTTCAATCTGAAGCTATTCCCACTTCCTCGGATGTACCTAGCCAGGTAGTCACTCAAATCTTCTTGTACCCTACGTCCTCTCGCTCTCTCACGTTGATGAATTCTACAGATGATTTCACATCAAAAAGATAAAGGTAGAGCGTTCTTGCAAGTTCCTGTAGGAACTAGTCGGTTGTTTAGAGAGCCGACTATTACACCAAAAACTTCAAACTCCCACAACTCCCCAAATCTCAACTGCAAAACAAAGCTCCTGAGCCCCAGACTTGCAAAATGGATCTTGTGAGCCCCGCAGGGATCGAACCTGCAATCTTTTGATGGAGAGGACTGTTATTTCCAACAGAAGTCGAAGTCAAACGCGTTGCCATTGCGCCAGAAGCCCGATTGTTTTATAAACGTGCCCCATTTAATTTGGTACATAATTGCTATTGTCTGTGCGTCTGAAATTAGCCGAAGGGATTCTTGCAACAACAAATTGAGGCAGC